GCACAACAACCCTATGAGGTAGGTTAGGCTGAAAGTCTGTGACTGGTCCAAAATCACCCAGTCAGCTGCCACAGCAAGAACCTGGATCTAGCAGACCCTCCTCTGAAGCGCTGACTGCTACGCCTAGAATAGCCAACCTCCAGGTGGAGCCTGAAGATGACCAGGTATCACAACTGAACTCCAGACAACAGATCTCCCCCCCCCCTGGGGAAAATAGCTGCTTTGGAAGGTGGGCTGTATGGCATTCTGTTCAGCTGAGGCCTCTCCCCTCCCCAAACCCTGGCTTCCTTAGATACAGAATATCCAGGAATTTCCCTACCTGGAGCTGGCAACCATAGTCAGGACTGGCCACAATGAGTTTTCTCCCAAAGGCCAAAATAGGTGTGGAAAGGGCCTTTTACTGACAGAACCAAGTCTGATTGCCTAGCAACTGAGAGGAAAGTAGGGTTGCCAGCTCTAAGTATAGAAGTACCTGGATATTTGGGGGCCGGATCCTGTGGAGGGCAGTGTTTGAGGAGGGGAAGGACTCAGCAGGGTATAATGCCATAGGGTCTACCCTCCAAAGCAGCCATTTTCTCCAGGAGAACTGATCTCTGTCATCTGGAAATCAATTGTAACAGCGGGAGATCTCCAGGTCCCACCTGGAGACTGGCAACCCTAGGGAAAGTCAGCCACACTGCAGGGGGTTGAAGAGAATGGTTTGATAGCTACTGGCCCACCTCAGTAGCCAGCCAATCATGGCAAAGCCAAGCAGAAGAGACAGCCATTTTCAATTTATTCTGACAAGAAAGTGGCCAAGTTGGTAGTGGGCAGGGAGGGGGTTAGGCTGAAAGTCTTTGACTGGTCCGAAATCACAGCTTCCACAGCAAGAACCTGGGTCTGGCAGACCCTGCTCTGAAGTGCTAATTGCTATGCCTAGGGTAGCCAACCTACATGTGGAGCCTGAAGATCACCGGGTATCACAACTGAACTCCAGACAACAGATCTCCCCCCCGCCCCTGGAGAAAATAACTGCTTTGGACAGTGGGCTCTATGACATTCTGTTCAGCTGAGGCCTCTCCTCTCCCCACACTCTGGCTTCCTTAGACACAGAATATCCAGGAATTTCCCAACCTGGAGCTGGCAACCCTAGTCAGGATGGGCCCCAATGAGTTCCTCACAAAGGACTGGAAAGGGTTTCCTTCTACCAGCAGCCACTGAGGGAAAAGTTAGTCCCACAGAGGAGCCAAGCAGGAGAAGTGTCTTCGTTGGGAGACACAGCTGTTTGTCAGTAATTCTGACAGGGAACAGAGGCTGAAGGGGGAGTGGGTGGGGAAGAGGAGCAGACTCAGCACCCGACCAATGGCACGTGAGTACTCTTGAATGGTGGCTGATGGACCATTGGCTGATGGTTTTGGTAGGTGCCATTTCTGTGGGCGGGACTCAGGCAACGCACCCAGTGGACAGGGACAGCTTCTGAGTGACACATGAAGCCAACTGGAATGTTCAGAAAGTACCACCCCACTCCACAATTATTTATAAGGAGAGATGCACGTGTTGCAAGGCAGAGGTGGAGGAGGAAGAAATTGGATTTATACCCTGCCCTTCACTCTTAGAGCGGCTTACAATCTCCTTTCCCTTTCCCTCCCCACAACACACATCCTGTGGGGTAGGTGGGGCTGAGACAGCTCTTTCGAGGACTGCTCTTGAGAGAACTTGTGACTGACCCAGGGTCACACCAGCAGATGTATGTGGAGGAGTGGGGAATCAAACCCAGTTCTCCAAGATTAGAGTCCATGCTCTTAACCACTACACCAAACTGTGTACACCAAACTACACCATGATTTGACAGAAGCCCCATACAAGGGTCACAATTTCACACCATTGGGAGGGGAGTCTCCATTACAATGCCCTTCCCCCATGAAACCAACCAGAGCAGAAGCCTGTCATTTGGGAAGAAGGATTCATGCCTTTGGAGGTGCCTAAGGAGTCTCAAAGCAGCTTACAATTGCCTTTCCCTTCCTCTCCCCCACCATAGGCACCTTTTGAGGTAGGTGGGGCAGAGAGAGTTTTCTCCCAAAGGCCAAAATAGGTGTGGAAAGGGCCTTTTACTGACAGAACCAAGTCTGATTGCCTAGCAACTGAGAGGAAAGTAGGGTTGCCAGCTCTGAGTACAGAAGTACCTGGATATTTGGGGGCCGGATCCTGTGGAGGGCAGTGTTTGAGGAGGGGAAGGACTCAGCAGGGTATAATGCCATAGGGTCTACCCTCCAAAGCAGCCATTTTCTCCAGGAGAACTGATCTCTGTCATCTGGAAATCAATTGTAACAGCGGGAGATCTCCAGGTCCCACCTGGAGACTGGCAACCCTAGGGAAAGTCAGCCACACTGCAGGGGGTTGAAGAGAATGGTTTGATAGCTACTGGCCCACCTCAGTAGCCAGCCAGTCATGGCAAAGCCAAGCAGAAGAGACAGCCATTTTCAATTTATTCTGACAAGAAAGTGGCCAAGTTGGTAGTGGGCAGGGAGGGGGTTAGGCTGAAAGTCTGTGACTGGTCCGAAATCACAGCTTCCACAGCAAGAACCTGGGTCTGGCAGACCCTGCTCTGAAGTGCTAATTGCTATGCCTAGGGTAGCCAACCTACATGTGGAGCCTGAAGATCACCGGGTATCACAACTGAACTCCAGACTAGGGATGTGCATTTCGGGATCCCGAGCCGAAAAAAAAGCCAAAAATAACGTTTTTCGGCTTTTTTCGGCTTTTGGGATCCCGAATTAGCAATTTATGCACTTGTCCGAATCCCGAAAAAAAAATCCCGAAAAAATTCGGGAATCCCGAAAAATTCGGGTCCATTATAACCAATGGGGCCATTGAAGTCAATG